GGGCATCGGATAAGACGGAATGTCGGATAAGCGAAGGTCAGTTAAACGAGACTCTACTGTATTTGTAACATCACACAGCAGAATCACAGCCACTGTAAACCTCAAAATAATTTCACATGTAGAACTATTAATGCAAAGCTGTCCTGAAATGCTACTCTAAATGATGCCACTGAAAATTACATCATCAGCTGCACAAGAAAATAAATTTTGTAATATCTACTATAAAAATAAGATGCAATTAAATGGGTCACTAGAACATTATTTCAATCACAGAGTTTATAAAGAATCAGATTTAAATTAAAAAGCATTAAGAACTTTAAATGTTAACCTTACCTGGCAAATTTTTTCCCAGATCTCATCACAGCCAGCTTTTTCTTGAAAACTCAGAGCTAAATCATAATTTTCTGCTTCTGACCAAACAATCAAAGTGTCCTATTTTAAAATGGAATATTATATTTATTATTTGATTCCACTGCAAAGTGTAAGCCTAACATATAGCTAGGTTCAAATGTCAAAAAAAGTAGGCTTCAACAACCAGTACTGAATTTGAGGGAACATGGGAGGAAGAGGGGGAGGAGGGGGACGAGAAAGACAATCCAGCACTATTATCCTTTCTCCCAACTAGCAATGGAACTTTTCAAAAACCATATTTTATATAGGATGGATAAGTTCTGATATACAAACTGCCACTCATTTATTAGGCGCTCTAGTCCACAGAAGCACCTTACTAAAAAGATGGCAAATAGTACACTATTTCAATTTTTATGGAGATATTCAGAAGTTCATTATTTCATTACCATCATTTTATTACACGAACTGGATTTGCACATTATGATATAAACCATTATGACTTAAAAACTGTACTTTGGATTTGTACAACATGCTAAGCCAGAATTTTAAAAATTGTATTTGGCTTAGCACAATGTGCAAAGTCAACCATACCCTGGATACATCAGGAGTCAAAGAAGAAAGGTTTTCCTCACATTTCTATGAGTAATGCATATTGATTTTAATCCATGTAAATACTATGGAGTAACAGATTGAAAAGATATCCATTCTCCTTTTTTCAGTCTGTAGACAACTGCACATAAAATAATAAGTATGCATTCAATTTTGAAGGAACATAAAAAGCAATCTTAAAAAACAGTGGAAAATATTTTAGCATAGATTACCCTTCAAGGATTCTTATATTGTAATTGTGAAGGGGCTGTACTGTTGGGAGTGTACACTTCCAGAAGGGTCACCCATTAAAGGCAAATCATAGACAAGGGGAAGATTAAATATGATCTTCTGGGAAAGGAAATGACAAGCCACTCCAGTATTCTGCCAAGGAAACCAAATAGACATTCAGAACCAGGACAATGTCAAAATGATACTGGAAGATGAACTCCCCAGATCAGAAAGTATCTAAGGAGCTACTAGAAAAGATCACACAGCATCTATGAGTGGTATTTATGATGTGGCTCGATAAAAGTTGATAGGAAGCCCAGATGTTGATGTGGCCAAAGGCAAAAGGAAAGTTCAACACATATGTATACCATTGGTGTGTGGAATGTCAAAACCTTAAACCAGATGTTGTCAGAGCAGAAATATTCAGACAATACTAACATTCTGGGAATCAGTGAATTGAACTGAAATGGGATGGGTCACTTCACCTCAGAAAGGCATCAGATCTTCTACTGAACATCATTGAACAAATGGAGTAGCCATCATTAACAAAAAGATATCAAAGTCAGTGCTCTGATACAACCCACAAAATAACAGGATGATCTCAATTTGAGTCCAAGGCAAATCAACTGATATTGTAATGATCCAAGTCTATGTTTCAACCCAGAGATAGAGAAGAAGTAGAAGCTGAAGAGTTCTATGGTGATGTGCGGCACCTTGCTAAGACCACACTAAAAAAAGGAGATGTCATACTTTATATAGGAGGGTAGAATGCTAAAGTTGGAAACAAAATAGCAAGTGGAATAATGGGAAACTATAGTTTTGGAATACAACACAAAGCAGGAGACAGACTATTAGCGATCTGCCAAGAAAATTGAGTATCTGTAAGAAATTTCTTCCTTCCACAACCTAAAAGACAGCTTTACACATGGGCATTACTGGATGAAGAATACAGTTGGAGAGGCTCAACTGATTCAGCAAAAACAAGACCTATTGCTCACTGAGGCTCAGATCCCAAACTCCTTCTTGCAAAATTATAACTTATACTAAAATAAAACTTAGAGGAAAAAAAACCTCAGACCCAAAACATACAACTTCAACAATATTCCATATGATTATGCATTGAAGGTCAATAATTAATTTTATGGATTAGATTTAATAAATTAATAAATTTAAGGATGAAACAAACAAAAATATCTCAAAATGCAAAAAGCAGAAAGATAACAGTCTGTCTGCTGACACATTGAAAATAGCTGAAGAAAGGTGGAAAGCAAAAGGCAACGTTGGAAGGCAACGTTGAGGCTACATTGGAAATTTTGTCCAGCCTATGGAAGAATTTGTATAATGACCAGGAAGGAACAGTCAGAATAGAATATGGAGCAACTAAAAGGTTCAAAATTGGGAAAGGAACATGATAAGATGATATATTGTCACTATTTATTTAGAATGTACCATTTCATTTTAAAGAGCATATTCGGGATTGTGGGGTTTTTAAACGACAGCAAGATTCTCTTGTGACCTATTTCACTAGGAAGCTATGAATATAGCATGAGAAATGCCAGATTAGAAGAAATAGCAACTGAAATTAAAATTGCTGGGAGAAACATTAACAACCTCGGATATGCTGATGATGCTATTTGGATGGCTAGAATTAGGTAAGACTTAAAAGAATCTGTTTAAAGTGAAAAAGAGTGCAAAACTGATCTGCTGCTTAGTATTAAAAAAAAAGGGATCATGCCAACAGGTTATACCAACCAATGCACCGTATTACAAACATTCCCAAGATGATTATTTCCTCAACTTTCTAGGAATATCATTATTCCTGAATGATGATTAAAACCTACCCTAAGAATAAAACTAGCTTTTATTTGCTGGGGCCTATCTTTGATCTCATTAGACTTGGATATGTAATAAAGCTAAAACATTTTGGACTCAAATACATATACTAATTCAGAAGATTTTGAAGACTAATATACAACTGAAACCAGATACATTTCTTTTGGGGCTGATGGATAAATAATTGGAAAAATCTCATGGATATTTCTTTTTATATATATAATTGCAGTGAGACTTTTATATGCTCAAATGTGGAAAGACTCGGTATTACCTACAATGGAAGAATGGATGGTAAAGTTGATGGAGCTAGCTGAGATGGCAAAACTGACAGCTTTGATTAGGGAAAAGACATGGACTAATTTTAATGTTAATTGGAAACCCCTTTTGGATTTTTTGCAGGAAACAGAAAAAAATGAAATTATGATATATAGATCTGATGATTAGTAAAATTAATAATTATAGAAAAAATTGACATTAAGTTGTAATCCTAGAGTAAGAGTTTAATGTGTATTTTAATTATATCTGCTGTAAAAGAAGTCGGAAGTCATTTTTTTTGTATTTCTTTTTCTTTATCTTTCTGCACTTCTGTGCTCCTTCTTTCTCTTTATTCTTTCTTCTATTCTTTTTCTTGATTATAAGTTCTTGTTAATTTTTATCTTTCTATTTTTAAAATTTAAGTTATTATAAAAAAATCTCATTAGACTTTGGCAGACATTGGAAATTGCAAAACTGAAAATACATAATATATAGCAAAATTTGCTACTAGATACAGGTTATATATTCTTGGATGCAGAGTTTAATTTTCTGTTTTGCATATTTTATATTCCAACATTCACTACATTCTCTTCTCCTTTTAGGTTTGCAAAGATCTTCTCCAATTACTAATGTTAGTTTATCTCCTAATTTCACACAGTGAAGAAATGATTTTAGTAACAGTACCCTAAGATGATACTTGGGACATCTATTAAAAATATTTACCACCTTTAATGGCTGGGTTCACACACTCCAAGCCATAATACGGTTTGCTAGTTTGTAATTTATCATCATCTGTGTACTACAATTGTAATCTGTAAACCATGATTCATGGCCTAGGCTAATGAGTAAACAGCCAAATTTATCCACTTAAGTCATAATTTTAACCATGTTTATATGCTGTATGTAAAACAGCCAATATGTTTTAGCTGAACTGACATAAGAGTACAGTAAAATAGAAAGGGTACATTTTTGATATTTAAACAACACAATACTTTTTATTTCTGATCCCTGTTAGCTTTTCAAAATATTACAGGTAGAAAAACTTACTTAACATTTTAAATATGCCTCTTTATAAATAGAAGATCAATATTTCAAATATAGAAATTAGCTGCATAGATGGACTACAGCAATTTTCCTAAGTTTCATAAACTACATTCTGTCAAGTTAGAAATGAACCTTGAAGCTCAGGGCTCCTCCTTCAGCCCTTCCTTTGTCCACCGGTTTTGGGACTCAATTGTTAGTTGTAAGCTAGGATTTCCCTTTATGACAGAACCAGAACTCTGAACTAATGCTAAGTAAGATAGACAGGGTTGTCATGATCCAGGTCCTATCAATTAAGCAGTGTCATCTGATGGCACCCAAAAGTTATGCCTTCTTGGTTTTTATATCTGCCCTATGAAACTATCCCTGCCCCCCAACCCCTGGTTTGGATAGCATGTCAGCCTATTTTAATGTGTAGATGTAGAGTTGGGAGCATATAAATTTATAATAATAATAATAATTTGGATATTTTTAACCTTGTTAGTTATATGGTGAATGGGTGGCCATATCAATTGAAGTAATACATAAATATAAATAAGATAGTAGGCCAAGACTGAATTGTTTATGAAGCCACAAAATGCACTCAAAATGTGGACTGCAGTAATGCCTTTCATGAAGAAACAGAGCAGCACCAGTTGTTTGCAAAAACTTACACAATCTTAAAAGAGAGCATGACTGGTATAATCCCAGTTCTGTAATAATAATTCACTAAATTCAGTTTGTGATGTGGAAAAGATTCCATCAGTCATTCCTATCCTACTGAGTTCACTTATACAAACTTAGGTTTTATTTTCTTTCTCTATTGTCCTTTCCCTTTCTAATATAAGAAACTGAAGATTGAATTTACAGCCAAAAATCTAATCATTTCTTCTTAGCATCTAACAAAGAAGTTAATTAAGGTGTCAAATATATGGATTCTTATTGAAAAATTAATGTTGAAAGTCCTTTGTATGATAAAAAAGACAGTAATAACTATACTTTCTAAATTTCAGATATCTAATGGGTTGTGACACAAAGAAACCTCTGTGATAAAAAGTCTGAGCAAGTGGCAGCCTCTGGCTGACTTGTCTGGTTTTGAAGTTAATGTCAAGCCTGTATTTTGATGGGAGACCTCTAGTAAAGGGACTGTAGGCTAGACTGGGAAGTCAACAAAACATCCTGGAAAAAGGTAACAGCAAACCACTTCTGCATTGCTATCAAGAAAATTACACAGCAGTGTTCATGGAAGTCAGAAAGTGAGCTTGACTTGAAGAAGACTTTACCTTTTTATGGAATCTGTTAGAAATCAACTATTGCAATGAAAAGGGAATCATTAATGAGTAGAATAAAGTAGAAATATTCTGAGATTTACATGAATTATGATCTATCAAGATATATGCATTCATATATTGTAACCTACTAGATATTTGGCAGCAAAGTTTGAAGATTTATGAACCTCCACATGGACTCCAATAAATAGCTGGACAGCTGCATTCAGCATGGAGGAATGTAGTGTAAACTAGTATATTACAAAATAAATCAAAATAATTAAAGTACTGATAAAAAAATCAAATATTATTATTAAAACTGGACAGAAAAGAAATGGCAGACAATTCAGCAAATGTTCATTCATAGTAATAATAATTTATTAAACTTATATGCTGCCCAACTCTCAACGACTCTGGGTGGCTCACAACAATCAAAGAAATTACAATAAAATCAATAAAACATAAAAAAAATAAAGATAAAAGATGGCAAGCCTGATGAAGCAAGGGGTTTCACTCTCCCTTGCCAAAGACCTGGGTGAAGAACAAGGTCTTCACAGCTATTCTAAACAACGGCAGAGTGGGGGCTATCTGGACCTCGGGGGAAGCCTTGTTTCAGAGGGCAGGCGCTGCTACAGAGAAGGTGTGCTTCTAGGGTCCCGAAAGGTAAATGTAAAAGAAGACAGTATTTTCATACATTCATCTCCTATATTTAATATACACAGCTCTTGCCTTATATCAGTATGTGGACTACTAGGAACTTAACTCATATATAACAAAACTATGGTTCACCATTCTGTACATCACTTCAATGGTAAACACAATTGCCAGTTTTTTGGAAAGTAGTGTTTTCAACAATAGTAACATAGTTGAAATATAGCAAAAAATAAAAAATAAAAATACATGCCTGTTGTTTCTGATACGCAGTGTTTGGATTTATCTTCGATTCCAACAAAAGTGAACCTGAAAAGATGACAAAAATTCCACTAGAAACTTAAGTAAATACATAAGAAGCCCTAGACATCTTAAGTAGTAATTATCCCCTTTAAGGATTGTATTCATTCTAAAACTTTTATGCAAGCACAATGATCAAATATGGGAATTTTAAGATAAACTTCAGTATGCCTTTCCCAAACTATGCACAATGCATTTATCTATGTAAAAGCATTATATTCTTATTTTCCTGTGGTAGCTAACATATATTATGTTATAACATATTTACAACACTAAATTATGTAATCCTAAATTTACGTATTATATAGTGTGCCTAAGCAGTAATGTATCATGGCAACAGCTCTCGAGTAATCATTTTCAAGCTTCACAAGATTTATTTAGTACATTAGCACCTGTTCATTAACAACATCAATATATTTTCTTCTTCTAAAAACAGCTTTTCCAATTTTGAAAATAACTTATCATGGCTTTACCATAAAAATACTGCAACAGAAAAAAGGCCTTCCATCAGCACATAAAATTTAATACAAATGTTTATTTTTCTTCTTTTCACCACCAACTACTGCCAAATCAATGATAAGAGACAATTTTGAATACTTTGCTTACTTCAGGTATAGTTTTAGGTCACTTCCACTGAAATATTATGTGCTGAATTCAGACACGCTCAAAACCAACAAGACAATAACTTAGATAAAAGTTTAAAATTGAATACACATAGCATTCTAAACAGTAGGATAGAAAATGTGGTAACACAAAGTACATTTTTTCAAGAGAAAAATGATAGTTTCTTGTGGTATTTTAAAAACTAACAATTATAATAAATGGGTTAATATTTAAGATGCCATAAGTGTTACTATTTTCTTTGCTTTAGACTAAACTCACTAAATTTCTGGAAATAAAGTTTAGTCTTGTAAGATGATGGAAAATAAGCAAATCCCTGAAGAATACTATAAAACTGAAAGAAAATATGAAAACTGGAGTGCTATTGAAAAAGCCTTCTCACTGAGGCAAGCCTGAGAGAAAACCTACCTAAAGGTGCTGGGACATATCTGAAAGGTTAGTAGTATCTGAAAGTACAAATCTGTAATACTATGAAAGGCCTATAAAATAATAATTGGTCAGATCATCTATAATAAGTAACAGTGGCCACAGTTTAGGGTCATGAAAGTTATGAAAGTTTTCTAAAAGTTAATGTTTCCCACTCCTCATAACACATTTAGTCTCTTTTCCCTAAAGTGGCACAATTAACACTGACAGGGGAGTTAGCAGTAACTTTTGTAGTCAAATGCAACAAACGAGTCCCACAAAGCAGTCAGTAAGGTTCTGTAACTATAAAATGCATGAACTCTGGGGACTATTGAGAGGGTGCTGGGGGTTTAGAGGTGGAAACCTGTAACGTTTGGAGTGGGGGTGGGGGGGTCCAATAACCTGACCCTAAGATTTTGTCTAAATTTAAAAGAGAGAATACATGTGCGGGAAGAGAGGAGTCCGTGCCATCAGCCCAGGGTGTGTGGGGTGGCGGAAGGCTCCCTTGGGTTAAGGTCCTTTCCCATTCCCCTGGCTGGGCTCTATTGTCCCAGAGAGATTAGCAGCTGCCGCCATCCCCTGCCTGCCTGCCATTATTCCTCTCCTTCCCCTTTCTCACCGTCCGACTCGGCTCGGACGAGCAGCGACATCCCTTTGAGCCGCTCCACGTAGGTGGACGAGACGTGCCCGGTGCCCCTGTCGTCCCATTGCCGCTCTTCGTTGAGCGTGTAGACCTTCACCCGCCGCCGGGTATCCGACATGGTGGGGCCCCGGCCCGATCGCAAGGGACGGGGAGGGACCAGGAGGGGGCTGAGCGCGTCACTCAGGAGGCCTTTAACTCGCCGCTTTTCATGACGTTCAGCTCGGCGCCACCGCTCTCTGCCTCAGCAGTACCAACCAGCAGCAGCAACAGCAGCAATAGCAGCCGCTAACGCCGCGGCACGGCCGCCATCTTGTAATCCGACTCCTGTCCCGTCCCTGCCTTTCTCTTCCTCTCAGAGCCGGGGGAGGGAGAGGGACGGAAGGCCTGCACGGGCTCCACTAGCAGGGGCTATGGTGGCCGGGAAGGGAAGGAAAAGAAAAGGCTGTCAGTTTGCGAAGGAGGAAGGGGTTGAGAATAGGTTGCGCCTGCGTGCTGTATACTCCCCTGCTTGGCGCGGGAAGGCGGTGTTTCCGTGGGTTGGTTTGGTTTTTCCAACACCAGCAGTAGCTATAGCTGCAGTTTCCCGGAGTGATAACGTCCCTGAATAGGAAGCGTCTCTGAAGGACCGTCTGCAAGATTCCCAGCAGCTCTCCCCTTTGTTTTATTAAATTAATCTGGGTTTCTTTGCTACCGACGCTGTAGCGTTTGAGATGAAAGACCCGTTCCCTTGGTTGCAAAGGCGGTGAAGAAGAGGAGTTGGGACGATGCGGCACTTCTTAAGAACGTGGAGAGAAAATCACGCCCTCGTACTCGTCAGCCACGGTTCTGTATTTTTCTTTTGAAGTGAGGAAAGTAACACCTTTCTTCTTTTGAAGAGCATATTTCAAGAAGAAAGAATACCTTTTTTCTATTGAGAAACATCATCAAGCATCTTTCTAGAGCTATTTTATCCCAGGACTTAAGCACTTAACCCCTCAACTGCCTGTAGAAAACACACGCCATTTGATACAAGTGGGGCATAGCGAAGACTTCAGAGATGGACAAAATAAGTAGGGCTGCCTAAAGACATATTAGCTTAAATTTTTGGAGAGATGGAGCCACCTTCAGATGCAAACTGACTTAAGAGTTTCAGCTTCTACTTAATTCATAATTAATGGTCTTGATGCACAGAGTTATCATTTCTGCACAGTTCAATACAATGTGGCTATGTGTTAAACCATGATGCATAAAATTAAGAAAGCAAGCAATCTAAGGAACATTTAGCGAATGCCAGCCTTGTCTATATTAGGAAATTCAAGAGCAAATGTATGGTTTATTCCAAATCTTGAGATGCATTTGATAATATTCTCATAAAACAATTGTTTTTTTAAAATATCTTATATTTTGATACTGCTCCAAATACTTCTGAGGAGGTTGTAGTTTGCTATTTTCAATATTATATACAATATGTATTTTCTTTATAAATAATATCCTTTTTATCATTAAAAATCCAAAGTGGGGAAAAGCAATTTACAATAAATTTAAAAACAAATAATTACATTCTTAAAATGTGTTTATTTTTATAGCATTTCTAGGCTGTCCACTCCCAATGGACTGTTGTTGACCTCATTTGAAAATTAAACCATTTTATTATGCAACTACAAGCATATGATAATCATATTAACTGATCCATAGTTGACAGATAATTTTTTTCTCATTTTTAATGCTAATGCCATTACTATTTCCAATTATGATGAAGCTTAAGTTCTGGACTGCCAGCAGAATTCAGAATACTTTAGAATATAGGAAATACCAAATGGCTTAGTTGTTGTTAAAATTCCCACCTCCACCCCAAAAATATCAGACTTCTCAAGAAGTGACCTCTAGCGTGCCTCTATGGATGAGTCAATCTAGACATATAAAAATGCATTTATTTACTCTACAACTTCCTTAAGAAATTCAAGTATAAATCAAGTACCAAATTCCCATGGAATGTAAGAAGCGTGAACACAGAAAAGCTCAACACAATGAAAGATGAAATGACTACACATTAACATCTTAGGCATCAGTGAACTGAGATGATATGGGATTGGACACTTTCAGTCAGAAGATCACACTGTTTACTACTCAGGACATGAAAAGCAAGGAATGGTGTTGCTTTTATAGTTATGAGGGGTATAGCAAGAACAGTACTTGGCTACAATGCAACCAATGGCCAAATAATATCAATTAGACTTTGTGGACAACCCTTTAACATGACAATTATTCAACTTTATGCTCCAACCACTGATGCAGAAGTAGAGAGGTTGATGAGTTTTATGATCAACTTTTATTTGAAATCGATAGAATATGCAGATAAGATGCTGGTTGTCAATGGAGACTGGAATGCCAAAGTTGGAAATATTATGGAGGAAAAAATGTAGTTGATTGTATGGCTTAAGAAAATCAAAATGAAGGACAATAACTTGTCAATTTCTGCCAATCTAATGATTTCTTCTTTGCAAACACTGTCTTCAAATAACCACAATGCCTGTATACATAGACATCACCAGAGTACATAGAAAACAAACTGACTACATTATTGCTAAAAGGAAGTGGAGGAACCCAATTATAGCATCACAGACCGTAGTTCACAAACTGTTCATGGGCAAGTTCCAAGTTAAGCCAAAGAAGAGGAAAGCCAACCAGTTTTCATGATATGATCTCAAGCATATACCCATCATTTTCAAAAACATCAGGAATCGCTTTGAAGTCGTGAACCTCACTGATAGAGAATGAAAGGAACTTAAAGAAGTTGTTAAAAATGAACATAAAAAGAGATGCACCCTGGATGCATCTCTGGATAGTTGAGAAAGTCAAAGAATGTAAAGATTACTAAAAGGAAGTCAGTATGTATTTCATTGATCATAAAAAGGACTTTGATTGTGTTGATTGTGTCATGTGGTAGAATGCATTTAGAAAAATGGAAGTCATAAAACATCTCATTGTCCCCATGCAAAACCTATACACAGGTCAGGAAGTGTCAGTATGGACAGGACATGGTGAAACAGACTGGTTCCAGGTTGGCAAAGGAGTGACACAAGGCTGTATACTATCCACTTATTTATTCAACCTATATGCTGAATATATATTAAGGCAAGTTGGATTGGAAGAAGGTAAGTATGTTTTTAAAATAGGAGGAAGAAACATCCATAACCTGCATTATATTGATGACATTATTCTTGACAGCCAAAAATGCAAGCTCTAGTAATAAAGTCAAGGAGCAGTGAAAAAAAAAAAAGGACTTAAATATAAAGAAGACCAAACCAAAGCCAATAGGTACAACAACCAGCCTTAGAAGTGGTAATGAAGATATTGGAGTGGTAGATAACTTCTTCCTTCTGATCAACCATCAACAGTAAAGGAACAGTCAAGAAATATTCTGTAAACTACTATTTGGTAGAGTAGCCTTGAAGGCTTGGAAAATATATTTAGATGTCATGATGTGTCTATACCTACAAAAATCTGAATAGCGCAGGCAATGGTATTCCTTTATTACATTATAGAAGCAAAAGCTGGTCTTTAAAGAAGCTGGACAGAATGAGTATTGAAGCTTTTCAACTTTGCTGTAGGGGGAGTCCCTTGTTGGGCAGCCAACAAAACAAACAAATGGATCATTAAACAAATCAACCCAGAATTTTTACTCAAGGTACAAATGATCATACTTTGGACACATTATGCAAAGACACAGATGATGGGAGAAGGCTCCGATGCTCAGAAAGGTGGAAGGAAAGAGAAAGGAAGGCCAGCAGCAAGGTAGATGAACTCAGTTACTGTGGCAATAGGTGTATTGTTGGAAGACCTGAAGGACCAGGTTAGGGACAGATCATTATGGAAAAAAACTATTTGTGTGGTCAGTAAGAGTCAACAGTGACCTGCTGGCATATAATCAGATTTCCAAGGTAACAGTAAAAAAATGGAATTGACATAAGAAACTCTTGAAACTCCTTTGTGACCAGACTTTTAGCCAATGACAGTTGTTTTTAACTGATTTAATTATTTTTGTCCAGTCGTTTGTTACTGGTATTTTATTTGGTTTTGAAATTTGGTTGCAAATGGCTAAAATGGTCGCTGGTATTAAACAAATGTAATATATTTATTGAATCTACAATTTCCACTGAACTAAATCTCTTAAGGAAAAGGAAAAATACTTAATCCAAGTCTTGGAATATCAGAAAAGTAGACTTTTGAGGTTACTGTACAAGAGGACAGTATAGCAATATTTCCCCCCCAATACAACCAATATAAACTTATGTCACTTAGATCTAAGGATCATGCTATAAACCAAACTATGCAGGGTATCAGACTAATTATATACCCACTTCAGGAATTAACCTCAACCCTTTCTGTTTCCTATGGTACTTAATACAAAGTTCTAAATTAAGGAATTTGGCCAATAATTAAAATAGTAGTAATAGCTGTAGTTTAATTTTTACATGTGCATAAATTGGTGCAATATACAATAGTAACATACAGAATCAAACAATCTAATGTTAAGATCACAGCTGAAATATAAAGTCTCAGTAACTGAATTGTACATAATACTTAAAACACCATTAAAACTTCTAAGAAATAATACATTTCTGTGTAAAGAATTAACACTTAAATCAGCTTCACAAAGGCAACAGTTAAATCTGCTTATGCCTTATGGGCCATATATTCCTTTTTTGTAACATAAAGGAAATAAGGGAGTTGGTCATACTGTGGATTCTGGGAGGCAGTTCAAGGCTTATAGTACAACTTCAGATGGAAGGAGAGCTTTGGACAGCTAATAGTGGTATAGAAAAAAAAATCACAGGAATATGTTGGGGTAGATTACATTAACCTAGAAGATGACTCTGAATCCAGGATGGCATGAAGAGTAGATAGAAATAATTCATGTGACCTACTACTATATTCTTAATTAAGATAACCCTGCATTTTAAAGATTACTTGGGGAAAATGTTTTCCCTTCAGGTAAAGACAGTAGGTACTAAAACAAATTAAAGGCAAGGCTATGTTCTAAAGATTAGAACAAGACAACAGTGGAGGCTATCAGAGAAGGCAAGTAGGCAGTGTGGGGATATAAGGAGTGAAGTAACATACTCAGTATTGTGCAGGTTATGTGTGAACGGATGAGGGTGTAATAAGACCAGAAAGATTACAATAGTCAACATGACAGATGAATGTAACATGGATAGAAATTCTGCTGAAAGAAAAGTGGGGAAGGCTGTATTTTGGAAAGTTATACAGAGAGGACTCAATAAAACCAAGGCTCTGCATGATTAGTAAAATAAATGGAAATGATTTCAATGAATATAGAAAATAAGTATATTAAGGAGATAGTAGTAGA